GTTTACAGTAGGTCTTCATTATGTAATGTAAACAGTGCAGTTATTAGGGGACAAGTAAACACGTCACTGGCAATAGGACAATTTTTTAATGCCTGTACCAAGTGCAAGTTTTTCTCATTGGTTGGTATGTGCTCAGAGGGTGCCCTGTACTGACGGCAATATTATTGTCTAGGTCCCTGGTTCTTTAATTAATTCATTTGAAGGGCCAAATTATTTTTAGAGTTGATCTAACAGGCCACAGATATTGTCCGAGTTGCAAGGAAGTTGATATACAGGGAAGGGAAACTCTTGGGTATAGTGACCGAAAAAAAGGCACTTTAAGAACTATTTCTTTCTTATTGATGATCTTATTTGCTTGTTGAAATTAACACAAAACACAAGGCCCCAAGTTTTTCTCGAAGGTGGGGAAAGAGCGAAATCACTGGCGGAGTTGAGTGATGATGTTGTCCAATGGGGGAACAAGTAGGTGGGTGATATGGACAGTCAAAACCCTGAAGGGGTCTAGAGGTGAAGCTCCGACAATTTGTAATTTGGAACGCTTTATTTAGACCCTAATCTATCTTATTGTCTAATGTTTTGTAGAAATTACATAGATAGTTTTATCTGGCGAATATTTTTGAGTTTCGGACAAGAGAGCTCTCTCTGACATAGCGTCCTGCAGCTGCAACTGTTGTGACCCATTTCTAAATATCCTCTTAGTTTTGTTCATCGCAAGCTAGGAGTTTGGTGGGAATTGATGGTTTTTTAATGGTAATGGTAGGATATTTTTAGAGCCCCTTCCACAATAAAATCTTCTGAAGGCGCTGACAGTATAGGGACCCGAAATCAGATTGGGAAGTAAAAATTGGCAAAAAACAAACCATGAACACGAAAGGGAAAGGAAATGGCCACTCCCGATGTTGAGACAGCATCGCCACCACAACTGTGTACCCGCAGGTACCCCGGCGACGGTTTGCTGGGCTCCAGTAGCTACCACCTTGGATAAGTCTCGGTTCTACTACAGTGCACTGTTTAGGTGGTGACGCCGTCTCAAGTAAGGGAGTTGCGACTTTAAGGTGAAAAAAAACCTTAAACTACTTCAAAGTCTTCAGCTACAGTTTGTGAGAAATGAATGGCATGATGAGTAGTAAAGTGACATATAATCAGGCTTTATTTAAATATAAAAAATATAACATTGTCTTGATCCATTTCTCTATATTTGACCGATTTGTTTGTCTGGCAATGTCATGGTTCTAAAAAATTTCTTATGTAAGATCAAGTCAGAATAGGACTACATAGTGTCCAGCAATAATCACTTTAAAATACATTTTAGTAAAAAATATTCATCGACTGATTATTACTTTTAGTTTGTTTTAAATATTTTTGCAGACCGCCTAATGAGAACCAGGGGTCTAGGTGTATCTTCTCCGAACTACCAGCCTAAAAAGTCTGGTTCTACTATATATAACGGTGAACTAATAAACACTAAAATGTTACCCTGTTTTGACGAGTATACTTCTGCTTGGCACTCCGCGGCGCACCATGTATTATAATGAGTATATTCGTTACTACTGGTAGTGAACATGTTAATATGATAAATATTGTTTATTTTGTATTTATTAATATTTAACATTATTTTCCAGTTGGTGAAAGGAAACCAGAATCAAGTGCAATGGTGAAAATGTCTACAAATGAACTATACTTTAGTGAACTTATCAGTTCATTTACACATGAACCTGCTTGTCATACTAAATTGATGTTGTCAAGTAAGGAGAGTGTTGAATTCCTAGAGCATCTAGTCAATAGACAATTCTTCAAAATGTCTGGAGATTCCCCAGGTGATGAATTTCATTGTTCTGGATTATCAAATGTTGCCAATAAACTTTTTACAGATTCTCCTCAAGCAGTGCCAAACATGGTTTGCTTCTTGTACAGCTTAGAAGCACGTTTAATTTTAACGATCATGCCTGCATCATATGAAGATCTTACCAAGTTTATTCACCTACAAAAAGTTTTATCGAAAGAGCCATCTACTAAAACTAAGTTGTCTGCAATGGAAGTAAATCCGCTTGTGATGGAAAGTGAAATTCAGGAAACAGAGGAAACTAATACAAGCAAAAATGCAAAACCAGTTGAAAATGATTCAGGTCCAGGTTATGAAGATGATGATGTTTTTGATCCCCCTGTATCAGAATCACTGCCTTTACCAGTATACGTGTATAACTGTTACCGACCTGACCTAGTAAACCAACTTCTTGGTGAACGAAGAAACAGCAATCTGAAAGATACTGTTGAGGATTTGACATTCAACTCTCAAGAGAGTTGCACAGTCTGTGACATCAGAGAAAGGAATTCATCTGGCTCCTCAGGGAAGTCACAGCCTGAGTTTGACAGTTATCGTAAAAAATTGACAGATTTTGCGTACCGCAGTTTTGTTATCAGTGTGTTTCGGAGTCTGCGAATGCAGCAACATGTTCATAAACATGATGTGCAAGCGGCCGTAGATACATTCTGTGAGGAATCTCTTCATCAGGTTGACCTGACAGATTTTGTGAAAGCTGCATGTGGCCATGTGATGGAGTTCAACAGACAGGTAATTAATATTCTGAGAAAATATATTCTTTATTCTTCAATGATGAACCAAATACTGGTATAACAATAATCCCTGCTGTTGACCTTATGACTTTGTCAGTCCATACTAATCCATATATTATATTACAGTTGAAATTTGTATCCTAATTTTTTATCCTGTGGTTTGCTCTGACCATTAAAAGGCATAAAGGTTTTTATAAGTATAATTAATATTTGGTAATTTATTATATTCAACATGGTATAACAATATTGTTTGGTTTTAATGAAAGATAAATTTTGAGCAAGGAGAATTAGAGAAGTTGCCAACTGTCATAAGATTTGCAGACCCGATTCTGAAGAGCAAGAAGCGGACAAGTGTTACAGATGGACTTTTATTTTCAACTCAAAGGTACACACTTGTGCTTTTATAACATTATGAAATTCATTGGGGAAAAAAACATGCTCTAATAGGAAAATCCAAGGGGATATACCACTAGGCCTCATAGCTCAGATGCCAGAGTTGAATTCAAAGGTAATCGAAAGTTTTTAGGTTCAAATCCCGATGGGGACAATATGTTTTTCTCAGAAATTTATAGTTTATTATCTCCAGTGGTGTATCCATAACAAAGTTACTCTCTGCTTTTTTAATAATATTCATTACGTACCACAAAGAGCAGTTTAGCTCAGTCAGCTAATCTGGTGGTAGCCACTGTGCGTGTGCTGAACCGTAGAGATCTCTAGGTCCCTGGTTCAATTCCGATCACTGCCTCTCCTTGAGTTTCAGCTGGAGGTCTGAAATACAAGTTACAATAGCGCACTGTCTTTCGGATGAGACATTTAAGCCGTTGGTCGCGTGTGCATTTATGGCCCATGTGCACGTTAAAGAACGCAGTACACTCTTCGGAAAAGAGTAGGGGATTGTTTCCCGGTGTACTGCCCAATCACAACCAGAAGGACCCACTCGAAATAAGTCTTCTTCTAGACTTTTGTGGGCTATTCTGGTGTTTACACCGAATAAAGTGAATGAAGAGAATATACTTATAATGACCTTTAAATGATTAACAGGCACAGTCCCTGAGTACTTTTTATGAGCAAATGGACGATTATCACAGTCTAAACACAAGAAGCAAATCGAAAAATACATTAGTTTTACCTAAATGGAACAATGAATTTGGGAAAAAACATTTAAATACCGCTCGGTTAAACTGTGGAACAATCTTCCCCCGATACTCGAAGTTCAATAAATTCCTTAACTTTGCATTCCTTCAAAAATTTGATTTAATATTACATTTCCATTTTGCTTGTGTTTACCAAATTTTCTTTTGTTTTTGTATATAATTTCTTAACTTTCATTTCTTATTTTACTGTTTTAACTATTAACTGGACCTTAAGGAAGAACAATGTAAAAGTTGATTAAGTATCCAGAATAAAGAAAGATTTCTATCTATCTATCTAAATCCATATAATTCAATACAGTAGAACCTCGTTTATGTACCTCAAATACAAACCTTCAGTGTTACGTACACCTCGTACGGACAATGACGTCATTAATAACCCCCAAAATACTCAAAACAAATTGCCCTTTTGAGGGCTACCATAATGCAAAAAGAGATTTGTTACTTTCTGTCTGTTTATTTTATTTCAATACTGCATTAAACAAACCATATGCAAACAATTTGATTTGTGTCTATAAATTAAAGAATATGTTTTAGCTTAATAAGGAGAACACACTATTATTGAATGGAATATTTTTCTTAGTTAATATTATATCATGAGATAGAGTTATTGTTCCTCCAGTTTTTCTGTCTGTTCATTGCAGCATTGATCAAGTTTCACAAGAAATTGATAGAGCAATTGAATACAATAGGAAGAGGGCATCCTATTCATTTCCAGTTGCTAACCTTACATCCAGGCACACATGTGAAATAAGCCCAGGGATACATGACACAATCAAGTCAAAATTTAGGAAGATATTAGGCAATCAGTTCAAACCAGTTCCATCCAGTCCAGACTTCTGGTACTTCTGCACACCCATAATGGATGAGGATTCAGAGGTATGCACTTAAAACACATTTATAGATACATTACATCGTTAATATCATGTCAACTCAACTACTGATATTGATTTGTCAGATTTGCTACGGTTTACATATGCTTGATTTCATGAATAAGAAAAGGTATAATAAATAAATATCAGAAGGCCACAGTTTTTAACCAAAAATGGCAAATGGTTAGAATAGCAATTATGATGCTTTTTGGCCATTTGCTGGTTTTAGCATGGCATGCCTCAATTGATTGATATCTTTTGAGTATTGTAGTTATGTTTAACTGGAGATGTTACTATAGTTCAAACAAAAGTTAATGTCTTACAAAAAAAAAATTAATGTATGTTTTTTTCATCTTTCTAGCAGTTTGGTCTCTTAAAAAATCTATAGCCTTTCCCCAACAACATTAAGACTTCTTCATTACCCGTGCTAGTTCCTGATCATGTACAGCAACATTAACAGCTTTGGTAGTCATCTTGATATTTTGCTTCTGAGCATACTGTACATCTGAACATACATTTCCATCCTCTCTAGGCACATACATTTCTTTTACATTGTTTTGTTTTTCCAGTGACTCAACAATCAAACCATCCATTTGAAGCATGGAAATTTGTGATTTTACCCTTTGCCATAGCTTCTTCTTGGAGCATTGGGCCACTTATAGGAACAATAGAAGTACACATCTTGTAAAGAATTCATAAACAAACTCTTTTATTGCCTATGTTGATATTGCTGTGTTTTCCCTTTTCCTTGATGCATTTTTTAATTAAACGAATATATTTATCCCGTATCATTCTTATATTTTTCCCACGAGAATTGTAATGAACCTGACCCTTTATCGATGAAAGCTGGTAATTAATCGCTTCTAATTCTTTTCATGAATATTTTCAAGACATCTACTACATGAGCGATTATGTTTACAATGTATCAAATATTAATTTATAAAAGGCTTGACATCGTCAATATACATACAAGTTAGAAAATAGAAGATACGAATGGACCTGATAGAGATTCGATTGTCAAATAAACACTGAATTAATATAAGCCAGTAGCGGATTTAAGAGGAGACACCCTAAATTTTTCAAAATTTAACAAAAATTGAGAAAAAAGAAAATTCTACTCAAATTTAAGTCTAAGAGTGCCATTTCTGGCCGTCCACGAGGCTCCATAATCATACGTTTTCTAGATCCGTCCATCTCTGAAAGTCCTTTTAAATTAAAGGAAGGATAGCTCTTCATGTTTCTATAATTTAATTTTCATGACCTGGTGAACTCTATAATCGATTAATTAGTCCTCTGAATGTGCCTTATGTCAATTTTATAAAAATTTCGAATATTTTTAAAACTAGCTTGTAATAGTTCTATATCAGTTTGAAATTACAATTTTTATTGCTGTTGATTGTCTTGCATACATTTTATATTCCTTTGTGTAATTTTACTTGATTTTTTGTAGTACAGTTATGTCAGTTTTTTTTACCTTATGCCTAATGTTTTTAACATCATCAAAATTTAATTGTTATATTTGTTTATAGTGTGAATACTCTTGCAACTCTGATACTGAAGATGTAGTAATGAATGAAGATGTTTGTGAAATGTCAGTCAACATAGGTGCAGATATGGCATCTTCCAGCGGATCACCCAGTTAGTTTATCATTGTTTATTTATTAAAATCGTATTAAGCAATTAGTAAAGCTGCGCATAGTATACTAGTGGAAAATTATATGAAAGTTAGATTTAATGCTTGAAAAATTTCCCAGAGATCTTTGAATGAATTTTTAAGTCTGACTTAAGTAATTGTATTGCAGATATGTTGAATCATGATGAAACATCTTCCATATCAGAGGACAATACGCCAAGCGACCATAGATACAACTCTATTATGGACACGTACAAAATTTTAAAACAATCGCTTACAAGCTCAGAGTTGAGCATCGATCGTCCAGATAGGTATGGAAGTTCCAACGAATCAGTGAATGGAAGTGTGATAGAGGGCAGTTCACCACTGTTTATTCATTTGACCTGTTCAGTAAAAGTGAGATCTTATCGAGGTGACCTACAAATACAAAATATCCCAACATGCTTAGGTGAGTTTATACAGATATGTTGAAGGACAGCCAGTGCTTGATAAGTGCCAATTTTTTTTTTTTTTTTTTTTTTTTTTTTTTTTTTTTTTTTTTTTTTTTTTTTGCTTTATACTGAAGGCATTTTCAGTTCTGTTTTTTAAAATGGCACAAAAGATATTTAATTATTGTATGTTATTATAAGTGGTTCATTCTATCTCAGATTGAGACTTATTCAACTGAAGGAACTAAGAGGATTGTAAAAATATGGTGATGATAAAAGTGGTGGATGTTATTTCATTCATCTACTTCTACAGGGAATTTATTCAAACTATAGGTCTCCATTTTTTTTTTGTAAACAAAGTTAGTAATGTTTTAAACTACTCATGTTTTGTCATGACAGCTATATATACACCAATTAAAAATTTATTTTGAAAACAAATTCTCTCCTTCCTTAATATCTTTTCTCATTTAAATGCATGATGTATAATTAAACAAACTTTTTAAATACAGTAATACTCTTTTTTTGAAGGCATAATCAAATTAAATTTTGCTATGTTTGGGACATTATAATACAATGGTTAATGTGTTTGCCTAAATTCATTGTTCATTATTGTCTCACAAGTACCCTTTGGAAACAAGCTTCAAGGAGCCTAAAATTCTCTATTGTATTGTTAGTCCTATCTGATTTTGTTTAGTTTATCAACATAAATCCAATCCAATCCAAATTTAACTTGCAGTACAAAACAAAAGAAAGTGAATTTTATTGTCAATACTTCCATCATTACAAATACAAACTCTATTTTTAAAATCAATATTGTTTTTATGGCGCTCTTCAATTTTCAAGATAATGATTTAATATATGAAAAAAAATGAACAATGACATAAAATAAGGTTTAATATTCATTGAAAAGCATGATTCAATGCCAATAGTATGCTTGGATCTATTAAATTTATTTAATAATATGTATTGGTAAACCAATTTACTTATCTTTAACCTGGCACTGTTTCATCACTCACCTATTGGTTCATCCAAACTTAAATGATTAGCCTAACACTCACTATGATCGTTATCAGTAAATCATAATTTTTCAAATACTATCAAGTTAATCAATATTTGTCCATTTGAGACAATCTGATTACATGTCTACCCAGTTCGCATTTGATGGAGAATTTGTAAAGAACCTGTTAGAAAATATTATTTGTCACTGGTACTTAAAGATTTAAGAATTATTGATTGAAGAGTTTTAAGGAGGGTCTTGAATGCATCATAATTTTGGGGCGGCAAAAAAAAAAAAAAAAATTCTTTCGCCAGCATGAACATAAAGCATTCTAGGAACAGATAACTTAAGGAGTTTGACTGTCTTGTGGAACATAAAGATAATTGTTGTGAGATGAAGAAAGATTATATGGAGCATGTCCATATAAGCATTTATGAATGAGTAGAATAATTCAGAAATTTAATTTCAATGAAGGTCTTTAAGTTTAGTGTGACAGACAAGACTTGTTGTTGAGTTCTGAAACTTTTTCAAGGGTCTTAATTGGTAGCAGGAGTTCCATACACTAAATACAGAAAACAATTTTTGAGGTAATAAAAGCATGGACGAGTGATTCAGCAGCAGAAGGTAAAATGTATGGACGAATACATGAATTCGTCTAAGGTGAAAATATTCAGATTTACAGACAGATGAAGTGTAGTTCTGAAAGGTAGGGGAATACGAAAGAACGTTTTTAGGTTTTGAAAGTTTAGTAAGAAGTTCAGTTTATCGTGGGTTGGTTTGCAGTCACCCATTTGATAATGGAAGAAATACTAGACTCAATTGAATGAAGAGTCGTTCAATGTCACTGGAGTTATCAAGATCAAAATATATCCAGAGCTGTATGCAGTGGCAGAGCTAGGAGACTACAGCGCCTCCATCGGGGAGAAAAACCACAATTCGTCTACATGTTAGTAGACTCTAAAATCGATTAAATATTGCCTTCAAAACCCCTAAATTGTCATATTTTTTTGGGTTTCACCCCCTGCACCACTCTCAAAAGTCAAATCACGGTCATGCAAAGAATTCTTTTGGGTAGTTAGTTTCTATAACCCCTTTCAGATAGACGTTGCCGCAATGTTGCGCTAAGCATGCCAGCATAATAACCGGCCTCTACCCTTTCACACAGCGCCTTTGTTACCACAATATTGCGGTAATCTTGCCCTCTTCTGTAGAATTTTGTAATATTGGCGGTTTAAATCACATGCAATTGTATTCAACTTTAACATTGAAATGCACATGCCGGCTTGATTGCTGCAATATCGAGTAGACCCTTTCAGACAGAGCAAGCCAGTAACTGTTACTGCAATATTACTAGGGTGCAATGTGGCCTACAGTAAGCCGGCATATTGGCACATGGAACCTTTCAGACAGAAACCCATGTCGGTGTGCTTTCTGCAGTATTGCGGTATTGCAGCTCTGTATGATTGGGGCTTAAGTCAGCTATAGTTAGTAGGCCTATGTTTCTAGACTTTGTATCAAGCAGTAAAAAGTGAGTAAATTTTTCATGCTTATTATCTATTTTTTTAAATGCCTGAAACGACTGCGCTTGATGTTGACGGTGACTGGCTGTACTGTAAAGCACACCAAACAAAGCTAGCATTTTTTTTGTCTTCTTCTCAATCCCTATAGAGAAGTACAATAAAAAAAAATCATTGTGACAGTACATTTCCCAGAGTAAAATAGTACCGAACAATTTCGTTCTTGGCCTAGGCCTATCCATCTCGTGCAAACAAAAGGGCCACATTCTAGGTCAACAAAACAGATGTTTTGATGTTTAACTCATTGCATTGTTGCCCATAATTTTGTGTGATGGGATAAAACATTTTTGCGCATATCCAACTTTGGTTAAGTTTTTCAAATCTCATTTGTCAATTCCCAGGAGAAGTTATTGAATGTTTGGAGGATGAGGTTGACTGCATTGACCTCTCTGATCTATCAATCAACCTTGACATTAACTGCTTGACTCTCCCACCACTGATTGAATGGGATGAAGGTATAATGCAAGACAGACGGCGGTACACTTCATTGTGCGAGTCTACCCCACCCAGCTCACCACCACCTGTGGATCTATTAGATGTCAGTAATCATTCTTTTACAACCTCAGAGGCAGAGTAAGTGTTTATAGTAGAGTAATAACCTTTTTACACTGCAAGCAAAACTCTGGACACAACCCGGGATTTTCCAATTCCTGCACTAAAAACTTTGGAGTTATGGATTGTAAATGGTAAAAATGGGTTGCCAAACATTCCGCATTCATTGTGCTGGACGTATTCAGCCTCTGAACACTAGAGCTTTTGCAGTTGTTTCTATACATCTGAACAGTAGATCTTTTGCAGTTGTTTCTATAAGGAAAAATAGGCTCCCTGCAACAGTGTGTGTCTGCTGCTTGATACAGGTTTTATTTTGGGGTAGGCCTAATTGCACATACTTTCTGTTGGTTTTTCTCTACTTGAAAGCAATGTGCTCTGCAACCAGAGTTCTTCCTAGCACAGTCCTAGGCCAGTGTTGGCACCAGAAATTTGCCGACAAGGGGTCCGACGGAAGGGTCTGAACCAAGGTGATGACAAAATCTCAGTCTACGGCCTGAAATAACAAACATCCCTGTTAGGGTTCATGGGAGAGTTTTTATGGCTTAATTTGTTCCTAAATGTGCTTCTATACCACAATATTTGGGATTGGCAATCAAAACAGCGTTATTTGGATAGGCAAATTATTATTATTTTTGGTCCGAGGACAGGGGGTCCAGAACTAGTCCGACTGGTGGTCAACTGCCCACCCTGCCCTCCCCCCATTTGTGCCACCACTGGCCTAGGCATGTTTTCATTCTCATGAAAAAGCAAGACTGATCATTTCTACATTTAGCTTATGATGCAAAGACAGGTATCCCATCATTCCTCCTGGATTTACTCTGCAAAACTAGAGATGATAGGATAAATGAAAGCTACTAATGTAATTGGTTTTGTTTTGTATCTTAGTTTTGGTGTAATGTCATCAGGGGATCCTTTACTGTGTCTTCCAGAACTAGAACAAGCTGCCATCAGGGAAACAGAAGAACAGGTATTAAATGATTATCAATAAGTTGTTAATAGTATGAAATTATGTGTAAGGTACAAATGATGACAGGATTGTAGTGCACCAGTCTCATTCCGTCATTTAAAAGTACATTGATTTTGAAAAACTACATTATCTTTACTAATCTTGTAGATAAAATGGCTTCTTCAAAATGAGATAGCATCGGCCAGGAGAAGCACGTACCCAGTTGCATTGAATACGTTAGACATGATCTCAAAACACATCAAGGATTCTACTGGTAAGCCAGGTTGTATTGCCAAGAATGTTCCTCTTCAATTTGTGTTTGGGCCTGAGCATAGTCTCAAGAAATTCACTCAGGTAAGCCAGATTTTTGATTGCCCATATCTATTTAACTTATTTTTAAAAATTTTGTCATTTTTTTTTTGTCATTCCAAATTTAAAATTGGTGTTTAGAAATTTCTGCTTAGCCCCTGGAGACCCACAGTGGCTATAATACGGCACAAGTATCATGCCCCCTGTGTCGCCCTAACTGTTATGCTAGGGTTATCCGAGGAGCTGAGCGATCGACTTCAATTAAAATCCAGTGTTGGTCGGATTTGAACCAGGGTCTTCAGTACAAGAAGCAGGAACATAATGTTTCGGCAAATTGAAATGGTAATCAACTTGTTTATTTCCTTACGCAATGCGCAATTACAAATCATCTAAACTCGTTTTAAGAGTATGAAGTAGAAAAGAAAGGAAACTGACCAAGAAACTATCCTAAAACTAATTAGAAACAATTTACCAAAGAATCAAATTAAGAATGAACCAGTAACATTGCACCGCTCTCCAGCAATTTGAGACACTTGGCCATCTGGAACAGCATTCACAGGTGCTCTAGTAATACTGGTGACTAATCTAACCTATCCTGAAGGAAGAAACAAAAACGTGAAAAACAAAAAGTGAATGAATAAATTACATTCGACCATATGTTACATCTGTAACATATTTTCTGTTGGTTTTTCTCTACTTGAAAGCAATGTGCTCTGCAACCAGAGTTTCTTTCTGGCATTAGCCCCTCAATGTGAGATTATACATCAGTTTTTTGATGATGTGTGAAAGCATGGTGAAAGTGAAAGGTGTTTTAATGTGAGCAGTTTGCTGTGAATGTCAAGTGATTGCAGTGTCTGTCTGAAACCCAAGTAACTGTTGCCTATTTTATGTTGAGGTGAAAGGTTGACTGTCATAGGCGTAGATCCCGGGGGGGATGGAGGGGATATATCCCCCCCAATATTTGACAAGGGGGGGATGGTCCATTGTATCATCCCCCC